ACCTTAGCATGGCTTGTGCCTAGTTTCTCACGCGCATTTGTTTTCATCCTCTAGGCTTCTGTTGGTCTTGGTCCAATCGTGGTTGCCAAGGTGATGAGATAGAGGCCATGAATGACAGCTGGCTCTTCTTGATCTGGCGCTCAGATGCATCCCCCTACTCAACGAACGCTGCCCTTTCGCGTTGGCCCATAGCGGTCTTGCCGGCATCCCGCTACATGATGGGCGCCGATTCCTCGAACCTCACGGTTCTTGCTGCCTGTTATGAGATCACAAAGTCCTTCAATGCACTTTCTACTGGTGGAGTTTCGATTCGAGATTTGAATCGCTCGGCAGTGGGCTTGTTTCTAGGTTCTGGCTTATTAGCTTTTGAATTGTGCTGTATGTTCTTTTTCACGCCAGTTGGAACGCTTCATTTTGGCGCCAGACTTGCTGGCCCGGCAGGTTGCAAACCTGAAATTCTGGGTAATGGGCTTTCGTGGGGATTGGAAAGCGCTTGTGCAAGTTTTTGCTTTCCAGCGCCACGCTCAAACTGACCAGGCTCTCGGAAGTCTAAACGTCTAAGCTCTTGTTTGTTTGTTTTTAGCGTTGTTCTGTTTTGTCGCTATTCAAAACACAAAATTGACCAGATGCAGCCCTGCAGATCTGTTGGCTATGCCATGCCTCAAAGGGCGCTGCAAACCTGGCCATGTGCTTCACGGATATCAGACCTGACGCAGCCTGGCGTGGGACATACCTCACTGGCGTTCCTTGGGCCACGGCACCACCATACTCTTGTCTCTTCGGCTTCGAGCTTGCTATGATCGTGGGCGACTTGCTGCACGTGTTCAACTTAGGCATAGCGAGAGATGCCTGTGGATCTATACTCAAATCCATATTACAAGAGCAAACTGTCTTTCCTGGTTCAACGATCGAGGGGCGGCTACAGCAAGCATCCCAATCCCTCAAACTCTTTGCTCGAAGGCATGGACATTGTCTGCGAATGAAAAAATTGACCCAAAAGAAGCTGGTCTGGGCAGGTCGCAAAAACCCTGAGCTGCGGGCATCAGGGTCAGACACCCATGTCACCTGCGTATGGCTTGAAGAAACTCTGAAAGAGTTCTCCGGTCAATATCCTGATTTCTGCACTTTACTTTGGGCGGGAAACCAAAGTATGCGGTGCTTGTATGAAGCTGGATTTTTTTTGAATGAAAGTGAGGTAGCTACTGTGCAAGCGCTGGGATCCTTGTACGTCAGGACCTTCCTGCAGCTGGCAAGAGCTGCTGTGGATCGTCACGTGTTTTGTGGCGAGTGCGCCCTAAGCTGCACGTTTTCCTTCACCTTACTGAATGCAAGCGGTCAGTAAATCCATGCAGGTACACTACCTGGATGGATGAAGACTTCCTTAAGAAAAAAGCAAAAAGCTTCAAAATGTCAGCTGTGGGAGCTGCTCAAAGCACTGTCCTGCAGAAGTGGTTGATGGCAATACCCCGGCAGCTCCAAAGAGCCGCTGATATTGTTTGATGCCCTAGCGCGCAGGTGTGTGTGTGTGTGCGTGTGTAGTCGGCCATGGAAAAACTGAGAAGCCGGACTGGTCCAGGGCGGTCATCCCATCACCACATGAATTGAATTGTCCATACTCAAAAAATGTAAGAGCTGTTTCCTGAAAAGGTTCCTGCACATAGGCTTTAGGTTTGCTTCACTATAGGTTCCATGTTGATCTTCTACCACCAATACCTGGCAAGCATGGAGTCCATGCCGTTGGTTGCAAAAGGCAGCAGTGCACCGTAAAGAATGGATTTTGCCTTCGCCTGTCATCGCAAAGCTTGTGCTTCATGGTAGCGGAGAAGGGATAGCCCCTGGTTGCCCTGATTGTGGTGGGGTCAAAGTGCTTTCAAACCTATATCCAGACATAAAACCGAGGCAAAAAAACATCTAAACCCCAGCAGGCCGTGAACACCGTGAAAAAAGGCAAATGAGACCGTGAAAACGGCAAATGACCGTGAAAACGGCAAATGACCGTGAAAAAATCCAAATGGCCGTGAAAAACCCAATGGCCGTGAAAATTCCAAATGACCAAAAAGTTTGAGGCATGTGTACGAGACAGGTATGATCATGTTTTTCGTGATCGAATGGTCCCCCAGGTCCTCTCTTCTTGTTTCGACTGCGGCGGGTCACCTTCCGGGCTCGCCTCTTCACCTTCCTTCGCACCTCCGCTTTGGGATCGAGTCCAGTCGTGGCGAATAGGCTCTCCATGAATGCGGGCCGCCTCCTTTTTCTTTTTCTTCTTCTTGGCGAAGCGCCAGGGGGCTTGTCTTTCTTCTTTTCCTATTCCACCTCTGACCCTACTCCTTTTCCGCGATCTCTCACCCGATCGACCTCGGCTCGAAGGTGACGAAGCTCGTCCTCCTCTTCTCTTGGAACGGCGGCCTCCAGGTTCTGGCTCCATCCGACTGCTGCTCGCTCCACCTCCTGAAGCTCTTGTGCATGGGTGTAGCCCTCGTCCCAAACCACTGCTGTGCATGGGTCTGAGCATAGGTGAACCCTCACTCGCTTTGCTGGGAGTTCCACCGGCTTTCAAACGGAGGATTCTCCCGTCCTCCTGCCGATGTACCTCCTCCACCTTGCTGATGATCTCGATCTCCTCGTCCCAATACTTGCCACGAATATGTACTCATGGCCATTCCAGGAGAGAGCCGAGTTCTATCTCTCCCGCCTTCTTCCATCCTCCGTCTGCCCGGGCGGAGCAGCTGCTGGCCTCCTCACGACCCTCCGGCCACCAAGATCTGCGGCCGGTCTCCTCTTCCGGTCACCGGCGAGAGCGGTAACCTCTACAGCGCTCCTCCCAAAGGCTTTGTCTCCTCCTCTCCCAATACCTTTCGTTCTTCAGGGTCTTCTTGATTCCCTTGTTTCTCTTGGGCTTCTTCTTGTTCTTGAATGCCCGGATCGGCCCAATCCACAGCTGGCCACGCAAAGGTCGCCGCGGTAGAGGTGGAGGATGATCAGGCGACCTTGGGCGCCTCCTCTGATTTTGTTCACCCTCCCAATCACCAGGAGGGGCTTCAACCTCTTGCTCAGGTACCTCCTCTTGTGCAATATCACCCGAGGAGACTCCCCTGTCTCCCCCTGTTGAACGACTCGAAGGGCTCGGAGTCCTCTCTCTCTTCTTGTCCTTCTTCTTTCTCTCCTTCAACCTGCTTCGGGATCTTGGTCTCTCGGCCTTTGTCTTTGGCCGTAGGTCAAGCTTTGAACTGCTCGACTTGCTCGCTTCCTTGAACTTCTCCTTCTGGTCGATGGCGGGGTTTGAGCTTGGCTTCACTACCTTCCTGGGCAATGGAAGGCGGGGATCCTTCTCAAATGACCTTTTGATCCCCTCAGTGATAGTTTCTGGGGTCTCATCTTTTATTCTTTTTCTTCTTCTTGCAGCCTCTTCCTCCTCCTTGTTCTCGAACTCCTCGTTCTCGTTGAGCAGTCCTGCAGGTGGCGCTGCAGAATGCCAGTGCCTCACGGTGGTGGCGCCCGTGAAGACACGCTCTCCTCGTCCCCGGAGAGCAACCGCTCGCTCCAGCCCACTCACGTAGACCTGGTGGAGGCCGGAGTAGATGTTCAGCCGAGCCTCCCTGTCAACTTTGTTGTGGAAGATCTCGGACACCTTGCTCACCAATGAGCAAAACCACACTCACACGCCCCTCCCGCACCGTCACCGGGAGGGGCGTCCATCCACGCTCAGCTGAAGCCGAGACACTGCGGTCGAGAACGTCTTCGGCGTTTCGCTTTAACACACGTGTCGTTTAACATATAATATGGGTCTCCCTCAAAATTTGGGGGGTGACGTCAAGAAAGAATGGTATTCTGTGGTGGTGATACGATGTGAAATGCCTCACTTCATTTTCACTACAGAATGATTGGCCCATGAACAGGCCAAAGACAGGCTTACTACAAAAGCAAAGCCCATGACCTACGTGTGTCCAAGGCGCTCAAAAACAAAAGCGCACTATGAAATTGACATGTTTTTCGTGACCTGCTTTTGAGTCATCAAGCCTATCATAACTACAAAATGTACTGTTACGTGCCTTGGCTTCTCCCCTTCCAGGACTACAAAATGCACTGGCTGCAATGCATCTACTATACAATGCTGTGACCAACGGTACCTTTTTTGTTTATGTAAAATGGTTTGCGACTATGAAATGTAAGGCCATGACGTGCCTTTCTAGAAGGTCTGTGACCATAAAATGTTTTGTGCCAAGACCATCTTGTATAAAATGGTCCTTTCATATAGGCCTCAAGGCCCATCATTTCGTAGTTTAAACTTTATGGAGGATATATATGGTAAGACCAGTGTCCGCTTTCCTGTGATTGAACCATCAAAAATGTCCGTGACATGTCCAGACCGACAATATTGTTCATGACCACACTGTCACACTGAATATAGACCCATCATTCTTTGCATCTGAAATCTTTTTTGAGACGGTGCAGCTCAATATAAGTTTGACTGGTGAGATCATCGTACAAATGGTGAGCACATGCAACGTTTACTTCAAACGATGTTGTGCTTATCATATCCACACATATCCGCAAAGACCACGAATCAGGTCAACAATTCCGGACTGGCTAGGACTTGACGCCCCCACGTTTCATCACCTTTTCAGGTGAAACCACAAAGTCCCAAGTCTCAAGGAATCAAGTGGGAGGGAAGTAGCAAGAAGCTACTAGTAGCTCCTGGCATCGCTACTAGGAACAAGAAGCTACTAGTAACAAAGAACATCGCTACTAGGAGCAAGCACGCTACTTGTTATTGACTGCTTCGCGATCTGTTGTTCTGACCGGTTCCCTTTGCGTCAACTCCATCACGTTTGGAGACCAAACCTGTCATTCTTGGGTAGACTCTTGATAAATAACCGCGGAAAGTTCTTTCAATCAAGAATTAAGTAGACACTTCATATCACTTCATCCCATCTGTCTGAAACCTATCAAACCCAATCCCTTGTATTTCGCGCCGTCTTTATCGGTTCTGCCCGAGGAACTAAATAGCTACGCTCTGCGCCAGAGCCTCTCTTCTCCACCTACACCGTGCTGCAAAGCGATTCACCTACCACCGATTGTCTTTGAGCCACTAGTGACTGATAGGCTGGCTTAACGAGGTTTGATGGGTTACACTCACAGGCCAAAGCGCCCCCAAAGGGCCAGGCCACTGTCCTTTCGCATCATGACCACCCCCATCACACACACACACAGCCTGTACCATGTGTGCCGCAAGCGCCGCGCGTTGCGCGCGTGCTGGCGCCTTGAAGCTTTTGGGCCAGGTTTGCAAGAAGGTCACTAAGAGCTCCTCTTGTTGCCGCGGCCGCGTGGCCCCCATGGCTGGTGCCTCAGGATGAAGACCCCTTCTCTACATTTGACCGCCAAAGTCTCAAAGCTTCTTGTAGGAACAATAAGCTACTAGGAACAAGTGCATCGCTACTAGTAACAAATGCCTTACTAGTAGAAACAAGAAGCTAGTAGTAACAAGTGCCTTACTAGTAGTAACAGGTGCCTTACTAGTAGTAACAAGAAGCTAGTAGGAACAGGTGCATCGCTACTAGTAACAAATGCCTTACTAGTAGTAACAAGAAGCTATTAGGAACAAGTGCCACGCTAGTAGTAACAAGTGCCTTACTAGTAGTAACAAGAAGCTAGTAGTAAATTTAGAATTAAATTAAACTTAAATTAATAGCAAACATTGTTACTACTAGTAAGGAACCTGTTACCACTAGCGTGGCACTTGTTACTACTAGAAACCGTCGAACCGTCGAACTGTCTTCGGATCCCCCACGAAGAGGGGCACGTCAGCCAGCAGCTCTTTCGCGGTGCGGCTGGAGCCCTACCGACAGGGCGTGGATGGCCCCGAAAGGACTGTTACTAGTAGCTTCTTGCTCCTAGTAGTAAGGCACTTGCTACTAGTAGCTTCTTGCTCCTAGTAGTAAGGCACTTGTTACTAGTAGCTTCTTGTTACTAGTAGCTTCTTGCTCCTAGTAGTAAGGCACTTGTTACTAGTAGCTTCTTGCTCCTAGTAGTAAGGCACTTGCTACTAGTAGCTTCTTGCTCCTAGTAGTAAGGCACTTGCTACTAGTAGCTTCTTGCTCCTAGTAGTAAGGCACTTGCTACTAGTAGCTTCTTGCTTCTAGTAGTAAGGCACTTGTTACTAGTAGCTTCTTGTTACTAGTAGCTTCTTGCTCCTAGTAGCGATGCCAGGAGCCCCTAGTAGCGTCCTTGCTCCTGGTTCCAAGGCCGAGTACAACACCATGCGAAAAGGGAGCTCTGGCCATAAGAAACTGGACACCTCTGTTGGTTCAGCGTGTCGCACTAGGATAGAATACGCCACCGGTCTTATGGCTCCTCAGAATTGAGGAACACCGCCTGCCACGCGGGGACACCCCAGTGGGTCGATATATTTGTGAAAACAAGCATCAGTCTGGGTGCCGGTGGGTTTCTAAGAATACGGCACTGATCCTCTTTCGAAACCAGGGATTCTGGGATGACTTCATGGAGAAGCCTGCAGCCTCACAGCTTCATGGAGAGCTTTTGCCTCGCCTCCAGAGCTTCTTGGAACTTTTGAAGCCAAGCTTCTGCTCCGGCCACCTGTCGAGATTGGACGGTCGGAACAGGCGAAACAGCTGAGCTCGGCTCCAGCGCTTCTCGGTTCAGCTGAGCTGGGGGGAGCTGCTTTGCTGGTCAGGTGCTTAGCTGCAAAATGACCAGAAAAACATGAAGGGGTTTCACATGGCTTGACTCCTTGGTATCTGGTCTCATGCCATCTTCTTCAACTTTGAGATGTTGGACAGTCATCTGATGCGCAGATAAGCGCAAAAAGAATCAAAAAGAGTTTTGCTGGGAGTTGCACAGTTGCACACAAAGGATTCTTCACCGTTGCACCCAAGTGAATCACCCCTGCCGATTGGTGGAAACAAATCACCAAAGGAATGGCATGTCTTCTCCGCTAAAGAATGGAACTGTCTGCCAAACCGCCAAGAAGCAGACTTCCATCAGCCTTGTTGAGATCTTCATCCTCTTTCTTGGCATGACTGAACTCATAGACCAAGGGGGCCTCAAGCTATTCCGACTGTCATCTCGAAACCCTAAACTCTCAATGTGCAAAACTCTCAAACTGTTTGGATGCTCCTTGAGTGACATCTTACGACCCACTGGGTCCCACTGGTTCACTAGGACCTACAAAGACCAATCTTCTCTCGGGCTTCCTCCGGGTCTTATCTTCTCTCGGGAAAGACTGGGAGGACTCGAGTACTCGAGAAGGCGCTTGAGTAGCTTGAGAAGGCGAAGTCGCCAAAGCCCAAAGGGCCCCCAAGTTTGGTGATTTAGAATGGTTTAAATGGACCCCACTGTAATTGAGTTCTCACAAGGACTAGTTGAGTCGCACTGACCTATGTGCGAGCGTTAAGGCGCACGGAGAGAAAGGAGAAAGTTCAAGGAAAAAACACATAGGCCATCAATATTAGGTTGGAGGCCATCGCTCTTAGGTTGCAGGCCATCGCTCTTAGGTTGGAGGCCATCGCTTCCAGGTTGGAGGCCATCGCTAGTAGCTTGGAGGTCATCGTTATTAGGTTGGAGGCCATCGCTCTTAGGTTGGAGGCCATCGCTCTTATAGGTTGGAGGCCATTGCTAGTAGCTTGGAGGTCATCGCTCTTAGGTTGGAGGCCATTGCTATTATGTTGCAGGCCATCGCTCTTGGGTTGGAGGCCATCGCTCTTAGGTTGGAGGCCATCGCTCTCGGGTTGGAGGCCATCGCTCTTAGGTTGGAGGCCATCGCTCTTAGGTTGGATGCCATCGCTCCTAGGTTGGAGGCCATCGTGATTAGGTTGGAGGCCATCGCTCTTAGGTTGGAGGCCATCGCTTCTAGGTTGGAGGCCATCACTTCTAGGTTGGAGGCCATCGTTATTAGGTTGGAGGCCATCGCTTCTAGGTTGGAGGCCATCGTTATTAGGTTGGAGCCATCGCTCTTAGGTTCGAGGCCATCGCTAGTAGGTTGGAGGCCATCGCTCTTAGGTTGGAGGCCATCGCTTCTAGGTTGGAGGCCATCGTTATTCGGTTGGAGGCCATTGCTCTTAGGTTGGAGGCCATCGCTTGTAGGTTGGAGGCCATCGAAATTACGTTGGAGGCCATCGCTCTTATGTTGGAGGCCATCGCTTTTAGGATGGAGGCCTTTGCTCTTAGGTTGGAGGCCATCGCTTCTAGGTTGGAGGTCATCGTTATTAGGTTGGAGGCCATCGCTCTTAGGTTGGAGGCCATTGCTCTTAGGTTGGAGGCCATCGCTTCTAGGTTGGAGGCCTTCGTTATTTGGTTGGAGGCCATCGCTCTTAGGTTTGAGGCCATCGCT